CTGAAGGACTTCATTCTTCTTGATCAAGTCATCGCTTGTCCACCCCTCCTCTTCCATCCAGCCCGTAGATGGTACTGATGAGACAATACGAAATGCGTGCATCTAACAGTGTTTTCCTTGTGCTATTCCAACAACTGAAGGGACTAATTGTTTTAACTTTTCAATTTGGTTAATGCTCTTGATATCGCCTTACCTGGTGACGATCCACAAAGTATGCAAACCAATATGAATTGTTTGCTGCTTGAGGCATCTAAGTATGGCATGAATTTCGCGCTCTCGAAGTATAGTGTGCTGCTCCAGTATTGGCCCACACTTGCTCTCGTGATCAGTTTTCAAGCTGCACAGTTTGAATAGACAGATAGTTTCGTTTACCTTGGGAGCTGTCTTTCTGCTGGCGGCACTACTAGCAAGGTAATAATAATAATGTGTCAGCTGTACGCTGTAAATGCGTTTCGCTGCCACGCGACCACTGTCAGTCGCGCGTGAGCGGAGTACACTGCGAGGACGCCCGCCCATACGCGGAATCGAACCAATGACTTTATGATTGCAAACCAGAGGCACAGACCACTCCGGCACCGGCCGACTAGTTAGGTAGTTTGTCTTCTCATCGCTAAAACCCGATCAGCATTTATCAATCTGAGGCGCTTATGACGTCATCGTGACATCTCCATCTTAATAAAGTAGCGCGTTTACAGTGCCCCTGTTCGTCCGGTGTTGTTGTATAGGCGTGAATCTTGATAAATTCGCGTGGAGGACGTGCGCCCTCTTTACACCTTCGAAAACGATTGTTCGAGGAGGATTGCTCGTGTGTGGTGGCAGCACCGATTTCACCGTGATCATGTTAGGAATCGCGTCTGAGGAATGCGAGTATTCCCTTTCACAAGCTGTTTTCGCTGTGCCAATTGAGATGACTCGGTCAAGTCCTACGCATGGTGCCTGGGCGATTGCCATATCGCGTTCTGCTCGCTCCTTCAGGACCGGGCTGGATGCGACTGTGTGCTGGTCAGCCTTCTGCCTCGCGACAACACCTGAGATCGCTGGGTTTCCATCTAGCCACCATTGGATCCGTACGTCTTCCTGGATGGGGAGCCAAGGATTATGAGTACAAGTGGATTGACACACTTGAAAACATAGGCCGAAACCGGATTCAGTGAAAGACCTGTGCGCAGGATTGTGTTGATTCACATTTTTAATGCTTATAACCTTAAACGTGACAAAAGAAGAAAGTGAGGTTGACGTGTGCGAAACTAGCAAAAGATGTTTCGTTTTATTTTTGGTCAACTAGTACTTACCCTTGATTCCCATGGTTATTTTGACAGCACCATGTTCACTTTTTAGGCTGTTGATTAGGGAACAGCGGTTTTATATGGGTAAAAAGGCTAAAGCCTAACAGGTTCCGTAGAATAATCATGGTGAAATTTCAATATATGCGAAAATCGTCATCCGAATTAGGTTCACACCGGTGGACTCACCGCGGTATTCGTTGCATAAAATGTTAATCTAATGTAAGTTCATAAGGAATGGTGATAAATGAGAAGTCGTTGAATATTGTGCCGTCTCCTAGTGTACACATACAGGAGGTGAAAAATATGGAACGTATTCTTTGAGTTGACCGGCAGCGAAAACTCTAACAGATACTCGTCTCTAAACATGCGCGGTGAGTTATCTAATATGGTTCAGCGAAATGAATTCACAGTCAACTGGGGCTTTGGACTCTACCAGCGTCGGAGCACAGATGACAAATTCCGATAGGACATTCCACCCTTTGCAAACGCGCATGGAAATGGAATTCCGACGGCATTCCAAACGACTGTACTGCTCTGCCAGCTTGAAAAGATGGTGGCCTCTCAAATTACTGTTGTTACTGAGCTCCAGCAAATAGCGACACGTGGTTTAGATATCTCATAATCGGGTAAGTCGAAATGAGGTCCCCAAGTAATCGCTGATATTGTCCGCTGATGGCTCCACTCACTCTAAGTCATCGTTCATACAGCAAGTTATGAAACTTTTGACACTCGGGCGTTGGGCTATCTCCAAAGCGGTGCGATGTCTTCTCAGCCATGGCTGCCAGACTTGCATTGTATGTACTACGTGTGCAAGATCACTGACTCCAGGACACTGTGAATCGTTGCTGGGGAGACGGGGTGCACGGTTCTCGTGGCCGTGTTAGGCTCAAAGAGTGATTCCATGCGTCCAGTGTGGAGCGGATTACGGTCCATCCACCGTCTTGTGTACCTCTTATGCACATGATTCCCTACATAGATAGACAGGAATGCTGCTACTGTGCATGTTGAAGGTGTGTGAGCCGTCTCCGTTGGTGAAACGTGGCTCCTATCCACATGCCTCCCAATCTTCTTGCTTCGGATTTACGCTGGATATGGGGTGTGTGAATGGAGCTGTATGTGGTGCAGCGCAAGCCACCCATGGTCCCTCCGTAGGCACAGGCGTCCTGTGGTTATGTTTTGAAGACAACCGTGACAGACAAGTCCGGAACCGGATACTGCCAACCAGAAGCTGTTGGATGATCATTCCACAATCTGATCCAGTTTAGTTTGTCTAAATTTAAGGTGATCCAAGTTCGTTATCATCCGAACATGATCTACAAGGTTGGAGACCACGTCTTTCATACACTCACCTAGGGGCGCGACCCTGGGCTGGTGTTTCAGGCTGACCTGGGTTGGTCAACGCAATTTGAAAGCACCAAAATCCGAGAACCAACACGTTGGTATGCTGCGGAAGGCATTCGAGCCGTTTGATCCATCAGCCCGTCCGCAGTTCCTTAAGACATACGTTCGACCTCATGTAGAATACGCAACCCAGGTCTGGTATCCCTTGCACAAAAAGACCTCGCAGTGCTCCAGACTACACATTTTTCTTCATTGGTGGCTGCAGACGTGTTCAAGGCCCTTGTTTGACCCGATTGAAGTGAAGTGCGGTGATCCCCAAGAATCAGTGCTGGAGCTGCGAGCACTCCTGGTTCTCACTGAAGATCTCTCGCGTGTCATCACCCCGAATTTCCTGCTTTACCCCTTTAGAATCAAGACATAGCAGGTGATCGATACTCGAGAGCATCACAACTTGATGCAACAGTACCTTGACTGTGCTTCTGAGTGGTCAAAAATGAATCTACTATCGTTTAACACGGATAGACAATATGGCTTATGTAGCCAGCAGCAGATACTACTTAGGGGTTAAGAGAACACATCTTACAGTACGCCTTACATATAGGTGACCTCGGCGTAAGAACTCAGCATGGTCCCGGCTTTCCGAGGTAATCCATAGATGTGTCGAAAACCGGGAACCAGCACGTTTATCTCTCACGTATGGTGATCGGTAGATCCGACTTATCCATTTTCCCACAACAGCTCAACGCGTACATGAAGACCAATGTGAGGACACAATTCAGACCCTGCAATTCTGGTGGAAACGCAATTTCTTTTCACAGTGAAATGCAACTGCGAGAGTACAGAATCTGTTCCACCTCTCATACCAACGGCGACTGGCAGCCCGATGGGAATACAATGGAAAGGATGGACGACTTATCAATTTAGAAAGAGAATTTGACGGTGCACCACACCATTTGCATCGCATGATATAATCCACCTCCATGAAATAAGGATGAAACACAAGTAGGCACTGCTTACCAGTCCCCATGAAATCTGGATGACCAGGTTTTCAATTGCGAGTCCACAGATGTGCGCTACCATTTTAATTAAATGCAATATATTTTACCCAAACCGTTCTACGGCATTGTCAGTTTTTTTGCCCATTTACCATTATTATTCCACTATTCTTTACCTTTGAGGCTCAACGAACTACTGTCTTGCGTTCTCGTTCGATTCCAGAAACTAAATCCCAATGGATGTTACTATCTATTAAATTTACAACTCTACCTATAATTCACGTTCATGAAATTACAATAAAACACAGTCAGGCACTGCTGCACAGTTTGCTGACAAAACTCCTGTTGCACTACAAAATTATGCGAAATTATGGTTGCCAAATAGTCTGCATGCTCTGCACAGCTCGCGCGGGCCGGTGGTGCGTATTAATTACCAAATGTGTGTCATCCTCCCTTTGTATTTGCTTTTATAACAAGGAATTCACTTTCACCAAAGATACTACGCGCTGCACTTTGTATACTGCGAAAGGCGCATGTCTATCAACCTGTCCAGCTGGATTCCGACTTCGTTCCTCGTGACCTTCAGTAAATTGATTCGGGGTTAAGTTTCTTGCTTGTCTGTCATTCTTCACTCTGTAAACAACTGGGTCGCCTTGAGCGGAGTATCGGATAACGGTGCAGGTAGAGCGGGTTTCTCGCGCTGCATGACAAACTTTCAATGAGGACAAGCTATTGGCTGGCCATCTGAATCCAGTAGGCGGACTGCAGATTGGCCCCGGTTTCAAGAGGTCCGCATGCATCAAACCCTGTCACACACGTTCCACACGGAAAACCGAGGTCGTAATTTGATCTAACCTCATCAACTGTGTACAATGAAACTCCGTTTATCCCCACGAGGCAGACCCGTTGTCGTACAATGAAAGGGTGTGTGCGATCTACTGTCTGTTTGTCTGTTAAATCATGTTTGAATCGTGCTATGTCCACATGATATTATTTTACAGCACCCTCTTCCACTGCGCTCACTTAGAGAAGTGTAGTGAAGTCGCGAACGCTGTCTAATTCACTCACCCTTTTAGGTTTACATTCGACGATATCATCTTTCACTCAACCGATGCAACGTGCACCGTTGTAACAGTTTCTACACTTCTCTCTCCTTTTGCTTGAGTCATTGGCAGTAGTTCATAGGACACTATCGTATGGCAGTAATTTGATAGTCCGGCGGAACCGGTTGGCCAAGCTGACTCGTTTCGGTCCTCCGTTTCATCCTACCGCATGCGTACAAGGACTAGACCATAGTTTAACCCAGCAGGATCAACTGCTACCTCGCTTCCTCCAGTGGAAACCAAATAGCTCCGAGTCACCAGTTGGTGTGAACTTCATGAATTTGTCAAACGAACCAGGCGGAACAGAGGCCCACCTTCTCAAACATGAATACACAACTACTCCACTGGATTCTCCGACGGAATGTTGTGCGTGGTGTCACAAACCGCGAAATCAGTTTAATGTGGAACTTACCAAGCACATGCTATCTCAGGCTACTGATCTGAACCCCGTTTGTTGCTCGCAAGTGTGCTTTGATCAACTCCGAAGAGCCCAGTTCAAGCATAGAACTCGCGTGAATGCTCTACCTGATAACCAGCTTCCGATTGTGACATCCGGAAGACCCCCATACTTCCCATACGCTAACACTCAATGTGTGAACGGAAAGAGCGCGACTGCGCACAACGCAGTGGGCTCCCCATCTCTCTCAACAACGTCCCGTCTTACACGTCGGCGCATTCATAAAATCGCGTTCACTACCAAACCGACTCAGTCGTCTGCAATGTCGTCGACTCAAGTTAACGATATGCGCGACACCGGTTCCGAATATAATCTTCATCGCATGCTCGAGACCCTGGTTGCCATACGAACTGCCAATCCCTACTTAATGCCTGCTTGGAACACTCTGCTAGCACCAACACTCGTATCGTCTGATGTATCTCATGACGAACTGGAATCCGAAAATTCATCCTTCGGACCAGTTAGTCTGAATCCCGCAATGTGTGGGGCAATGGCTAACTGGGGGATGCCGAGTCAAATGACGAGCCCTATTGGAGAGTGCAGTCGATTCACTCCCCTACCCATCATATTGCCAATCTTTAAAAACGCACCGGATATCCTCCGCATTTTACATCGATTTGGGTATCACTCAGCTTTGGATTGTCGGCCTCTACGACCCTGCCAAGAAGCTGGCACGCAGACAGATGAATCTGTGACACACATGACTATACCAGCTGATCCGGCACAAGACGGTGTGGTTCTCGACCTGCGGGTAGTTAAACCACCCAACTCTACCAAAACTCAGATAAGGCCCCGTTTATCTGAGAGGTCGTTAAACAACCGTGGTGGCAATTGCTACAAAATGATTGACCTCAGAACCAAAGCTATGAACTTCGTAAGTCTAATACCCGTCGCACAAAAAAGGAAAAAGAAAGGACGTTTGTAAACATTTGCTACTGTTTTGCCTTCTACCAAGTGAACTGTTCATGCACCTAGTCTATCCTTCCACCATTTCCGGCTTGGATGCAGTTGTGTTCAAAGTTTTCCGAAAAATGTATTAGTTTCCAATATTGACGTTTCACTACATTAATATCTGAAGCTGTTTTGTCTGCTGTGCTTTATAACTCGTCTAAATGGCTGGAGGGTTCATTCCATGACTGGTAATTACTTCATGATACATGCTCTACCTGGCACAACGATATTCCCAAACGAACGTGTAAAATTATCAGCAACACCGAAGGATGCACCGTTAGGAAATCCTGTGATACATGGGTTGCTGTCAGGCGGTCAGATTGGTTGCCAGAACTGTCTCTTAGATCTCAACTTGGCGTGGAAATAATTGTGAGTAACCTATCGCATTGATAATCCAAATTAGACATTGGAACAATGATTTATTATGGAGAGCGGTATGATGCCTGACGAGTCCTATAAGATGGTTAGATTGAGAACTTTAAGGCCGAGCATAAGAGCATCAGTAAAACAAAGAACGCGACGGTAAACTTTACACGATCTGCACATAAACGCATGTCAATCCACTAACCTCCGTTTTTATAGAAATGAATGATGGGCACACTGCTTGCTTACATTATGTCCTCTAAAAACTATACTGTACTCTGTAAGTGGCTTATTGCATCATGGAAGAAGTTCCCACGACTAACCAACTCGAGTGGCGAAACGTTTCTGGTGAATTTCCAGTCGGCTAAACTACACAGTCATTGTTCCATGGTGGTGTTGTGAATGTTACAAGAATGCAAATGAAGGTAGTTTATATACTCCGGAAATTGACGCCATTAAAAAGTCACGCTGTAGACGCCGGCGCCATCCTCTGTACTCTCCTAGGGCTCTCATTGTTGGTTGGCTTTGAGGCGGAACTATCCTTCATCATCATTAGTCGTCCTTCGCGATGAAGCCCCAGGCATAGCTTGATCGTGCTGACACCATGGATGATAGGCCTGAATGGCTTATACCGCATCAGGTCTCACCCACATTTTCAGCAGTTGCAGCGATAATGTGTCAAACCTATTGGAAGCTCACCGCGAGGGACCGGAAACTTTGTCACTAGTTTTCTGCACCTACTTCACACAGCCGAGGTCGACGTTATTCAGTACCCAAACGTCGCTGTCTTTTGGGACTTTCTGCACGATGTGATCTCCAAACGTAGGTACGTTATTTGTCCAGCCACCTATTTGAATCACCAAACAGGCAGATTATTCGTTGTCAGTTCGCTAGCACCATCTGGAACTCGTTGGAGTACGTCACAAACGTCTTGACTAGTAAATGCTCACCATTCATAAACATCTTCGGTGTCAATTGTAACATTTAACTTGATCGTACAACCATGAACCTTAATGAGCACAAAAAGTATACACGGCTCCAGCACTGAACCTTACGGAACACTAGATAAGGCAATCGCAGTCGGAGAAAGAAAACGATGCACAGGTATTGGCCAACGAAGACTTCAGCAAAATGACATCCTTGCTGGTTCGAATATCCACTGTTTCGAATCAACGACCTGCAGTCAGTGCAGTATGATCGCATGACGCTGTCGAAGTGAGCGGTGCTGTGAGGTTGTTACATCTTCTAAACCCTGAATTCGATTACGCTTACAAAGGGCCAACGGTGTATAAGAGGGGACAACTTGGTTCCTCAAAAGTATAGGCTCACTGGTCGGATGTGCCTCTTACCTGGCGGTAACATTATGAGGAAGATCATCTCAACTACACCCCATCATCTAACAATCCCTCAGTTGTAGCGACCTTTCCTCACACCAAGTTGGTGCTGATCTTGCACAGTTATCTTTACAGACTGTTCATAATCCGGGATAAAATTGGTGGCGGGAATTTGTCACAGTGATGACGGATGGGATGCGATACAACAAGACCAGGTAACCTAGTCATACTGACTGACGACAGTCGCTGTCATCCGAACACCTGCACTGTTTTTTTGTTTGTCAAGGGTTCTACCATCTTCACGAACAATGAGTATTTACATTAGTGACGAGTTCCGTAAAGATGGATTAACCGTCCACCGTTTACCCCTGTGTTGATGGCTATCCAGTCAGTCCCCGTTGTAATCGATTCCTTCTAAGTCATTTACATCGTACATAACCTGCAAAACGTGTACTATCTGCGACATTTCGTCCTTCTGGTTCTAAAACCCTAGAACACTTACAAATTCAACTGATTCCACTGCTAATTTGGTTATCTTCAAGAGTTGTAACATACTGGACTTAAAATGTTTCGAAATACTGGTAGCTCGGGTTGATGAATCAATTGTTCATTTGTTCTCCGAACTTGGCGGTTTTGTCGCAAACGTTTCACCACCCTGCGAGGTGGCATCCTCAGTGCAGTGATATGTAGCGTGCATGGATGTCACCTCGCATGGTGGTGAAACGTTTGCGACAAAACCGCCAAGCTCGGTGAACAAATGAACAATTGCTACTGGACTTAGTTCTTCCACCTTGCCACATGGACGGTGAGTATATGTTTCCGTGATACACTTTATCTTGACCAATGGACCCCATGGACGAATGAAAAGTAGAACAGCTGGTTTGCGTACGGTTTTCTCACATCCGACTTAGTGTATGAGGACACTATGCGCTTTTGTGTATGCTTCGAAACACTTCCAAACCCCGTCATTCACCACGTTTAGCATATGTTTTCTTTGTTGCATATCTTCACCTTATTTCTTCACGGACACTCGCCATCTTTAGTGAACTAGTCTACTTGGATTTAGTATTTATGCATCTGTTCAGTAACTGTTATAACGCGTCTTAGTTGTTCCGACCCTTAGCCGGAACGGACGAACGTACATCACAGTGCTCCACGCGTGCAGAGTAGGTAATTTTGTTCGTAACGCTGCGGGCTAACGAGACCTATTCGCCAGACCCATATGCTGGCTGACTGGGGACAAATCATGCGTAACCTAGACCTACTGCACTGAGCCTCGAACGAGAAAGGAAAACTAGCAGTTAGCAATGGTTTTTTCACTGACTAAACCAAGGCGAAGTATGCCTTCCATACCTTCATCTTTATAGCTCAATCGAAAAGCATCAACTATAAAGAAAGGTGGATGGTAACAAGGCACGAGTTGTCGCCAAGTGGTGGTATGCTCAGGGGATCTCAGTTAGCGTCATTGTGAGCTTGTGCGGTAACTGCCGCAGCGACTGAGGAGCTCAGGTGGTTCACTGCAACTTAACGCAATGGATACGGTAGTACCATGTGGAGAGTTCAGTGGGTTCACTGCAGTAAACGCAGTGTCCTGAGTAAAGCTCAATTGGCTCCCTCTGACTTGACCTTAATGTCCTGAAGACACCTCGGTCTGAGTCGCCGCATATTGATCGTACGTCTGGGTGAGCCCGGCGAAATGTACGCAAGTTCCGCGGAGCTGTGTTAGCATCGTAACACTTACCCTTTTACTCTTGACAGACAATCGTTCCGTATTATCACTCCTACTCCAATATAGCCCAAGATGACTTGCTTTCTCTCAACTTAGATATGAACTGAGAATTCGAGATTGTTTGTGTCCCGCTCTCCCGTCCTGAGACCGAGTTCAGTTAGACCGCCGATCATCAAACAACCGCGGAAAGTGATGAATGGTTCCTAGTGATAGGCGACTATACCATCTACCTTTGTCAATCCGTCGGAATGCTCACTGCGTTTCTTAGTATGACCATGTTCCTTTTTGATGATCTAACCACAAGTGAGGACGGTGAAACATCAAACTGGGAGTTGCGGACGTAGTGCACAAATCTAGGTTGTGTTCAACGTTATCGCATTGCTCACCTGCGTGATTAAGAGCTATTCAAGACATCAAAGCATTTCCCGACTTGAGAACTGTGGCCATATCGCGTTACCAAAATCTGAAGCGATCACTCGCTGACTAGTGTTGCAGTGCCCTGGTTGGCGTTCGATCATCAACCTGATGGTTCTACAAGGAACAGCTTGCTCCGCACACTCTGTTTGTCAGAACTGCAAATTGTTGAACCCTGTGGTCAATCGTTCTCCTGTTGAAGAGTATAATGGAAGGAACTATCTATGTCAGTGATCACCGCTTTTACAGGGAGATCCATTACACTGATTACTGGTAAATCTGCCTAGCATAGTGGATAGGAGAGGTCTGTGGCGCCCATCAACTTTGTTCCCCCATCCGATCTAGTAGTCCCGTTATCCAACGACTGACGTGCTTCATTCATGTCTCTTTTCTGTTTTCGCTACGTGTTTTTGTTTTATCGTAACGACGAATAAGGATAGCTGAATATGGCTCTCCCTTTAAAGTGAACATTAGTTGGTTAACGGAACTTCATTGGATTGATTCTTGTCGATACGAATGGGCGCAATGCTCAATCCATCATCATGCCTAATCTGCCAAAGTTGCTTTTACATCAGAGGCTCCCGTAGCTCAACGATGAAGGAATGTTGAGACTAGTTCAGTAGATAGGGCGCAGTGTATGAAACTGAAAGTATATATATATATATATATATATATATATGTGTGTGTGTGTGTGTGTGTGTAACAGTCTACGAATAGACATGGAGACATCAAAAACCATTGAACACAAAGGAAGGTACAGGTGTCGTAAAAGAAAACACAACACAGCACTGAGGAATTCATGGTTTCGTCAAAGGGCAAGATAATATCCGGTTGCCCAAGCCGAGGTACAGTATTATAAAGGGAACACCACCCCGGGTCATTGGTCGAATAGCCTGCTCGCAAGGCAGCGGAGCGAATTCTGGGAATCGCGCCCATTGGGAGCCGGTGACTAATTGCTCAGTTTATACGACTTTCGTTTGTTCAGTTGTCAAACAGGGGCCCAATGCTCCCCACGATTTCAGCACTAAGTTGCTGGAATGTAATGCTTCACCAGTATAAAGCAATGAGCAGTGACTTTATTTAGTGGCAAGTCATATCCGTCGCGTCACAGTGTTGTTAAACGGACATATGTGG